ATTAAAATCACCCCAAGGTAGATTCCCAGGAAAGAGGAGGGGTCACAATGGTCCCTTAAAACTCACTTTCCTTAGACCAGAACTACCAAGACAAGTAATTTTAATAGGACAATAATTAACACACTATACCCCGACAATAGCTATTAAATATACATAAAGAGAACACCAAAATTTAACGAGGATAGGACAAAATTATGCATGCCTCCTCGACACTACTAAAATATTTCACTAATAGAGGAAATATTACAAGAGAGAAAGAGTACAAATAGCCTTTAATATAGAAGAAGGCTTATATTTGGGATGCTAAACTAAGGAGGAGTATGACTTTATTTATAACAAAAGAATTTCCCCTCCTCTTATACACAACCAATGTGGGACTTTGCCAAAAAACCAACAAATCTCCACCTTGGCAAATTCCACACACATCTCTCAAAAATCCAATCTTCAGTAGTGTGTGCAAATTCATCTTTCAATTTGTAACATATTGACCAAGTCTAAACAATGTTTAAACTTGACCGCAATTACCACTTTTGTCAACATATCAACATGATTCAGTGGTCCGAATCTTCTGGATTATGCTCCACCTTCTTCTAGAATCTCTCGTACAAAGTGATATCGAACATCGATGTGCTTTGTCCTTGCATGGTAAACCTGGTTCTTTGCTAAATGAATAGCACTCTGACTGTCACAATGCACTTTGATGTGCTTCTGTTCCATTCCCAATTCACCAAGCAACCCTTAAAGCCAAATTGCCCCTTCACAGCCTCTGTAATGCCATATACTCTGCCTTTGTAGTAGACAAAGCCACTGTTGACTGTAAGGTGGACTTCCAACTGACTGGTGCCTTTGCAAATGTAAACACATAACCAATAGTTGATCGACGCTTGTCCAATCACCTGCATAGTCTGAATCACATACCCAACATAATGACCATCTTGTTTGTCCTGCTGAAGACCAAACCAACATCTACGGTGTTCAGAATATACCGCAGAAATCCATTCACAGCTTGTCAATGCTCCTTTCCAGGATCATGCTATACTGTTCACAACCCCAACTGCCTATGAAATATCAGGTCTCATACACCCATTTCATACATCAAGCTACCAACAGCACTTGCATACGGAACCTTTGACATATATTCCCGTTCTGCATCATCCTTAGGTGACATGGATGCACCGAGCTTGAAATGGAGCAAGATATGTACTAACTGGTTTTGACTTCTCATTCATGCCAAAATGTTTTAGTACCTTCCTCAGATATTCTTTCTGAGATAAACAAAGCCTCCCCAATTTCTTATCCCTTGATATTTCCATGTCTAGAATCTTCTTCCTTCACCAAGATCCTTCATCTCAAACTCCCTGTTCAATTGAGTCTTTAGTTTCGCAATTTCTGTCTGTCTGACTTGGAAGCTATCATATATCATCAACATAAGAAGGAGATATATATATGATCCGTCTTCTAGCTCACGTAAATACACACAATGATCATATTGCTTCTGTGTACTTGCCCTATCATAAACTTGTCAAATTGATTGTACCACTGCCTTGGAGATTGCTTCAATCCATACAACGATTTTTCTAATTTGCACACCATCTCTTCTTTTTCAGCAATTTTGAATCCATCTGGCTGAGTCATGTAGATTTTCTCATCCAAGTCTCCATTTAAAAATGCAGTTTTTACATCCATCTGAACTAGTTCCAAATCCAACTGTGCTACCAAAGCCAACAATTTTGATGGAGGAATGTTTATAACTGGAGAAAATACTTCATTATAATCAACTCCCTCCGTTTGAGCGTAGCCTTTAGCCACCAATCTTGCTTGTAGCGGATGTTATTCTTGTCAGGAAATCCATCTTTCTTTGCATATACCCACTTGCACCCAATTGTCTTCTTTCCCTTCGGAATACTAGCTAGTCCACATCTAATTCTTTTGAAGGGATTGCATTCTTCATTCATGGCGATCCTCCACTTTTTATGTTCTGAACTTTGGACTGCTTCATTAAAAGTGGCAGGAACGTCATCAATTGCAATTGGTGATGCAAAAGAGACCATATCAGCATAACGAGTAGGTTGTCTAATGGTCATCTTTCCTTTCTGAGTGCAATTGATTCATGTTGCTGTGGGGTTCTTGGGTCTGAACCTCTTCTTCATCTGACTCTTCTTCTACCATAGGATAGTCAACAACATTTCTTTACTGTTGGGTCAATTCTTGCTTCCTTCAAACTCCACCTGTTTGGGAGTTCCATCTGTTGCTCCAATTTTTCTGAAGTCACCTTTCTCAACATGGTAGATTCATCAAAGGTAACATCCCTGCTAAAGATTATTTTCTTTGCTCTTGGATCCAGCTTTGACTCCTAACATGGTAGTATGCACTGGAACCAAACACATGTAAGGAATCATAATCTGTAGCAGGTTCTCCAACCATTTCTCTAATAGTGTTTTACCACCAATAGCAGTCGATGGTAAGCGGTTGACAAGATGACAGCATAGACCAAAGCCTCAGCCCAAAATTCTTTGCCTAACCCAGCATTAGACAACATACACCGAACCTTCTCCACTAATGTCGGTTCATACGCTCTGCACCCATTCTGTTGTGGTGTACTTCTGACAGTGAAGTGCCTGACAATACCTTCTTCTTCACAGACTTTCAGAAATTGATCATTTTTGTACTCTCCACCATTGTCTGTACGGAGACGTTTGATTTTTATACCTGTTTGAGTCTCCACCATCTTTTCCATTTAAGGAAATCCTAGCACCTCATCCTTTGTCTTCATTGTATACACCCAAACTCTCGGGAAAAATCATCAACAAAGGTGACATAATAGTGTTCCTCCCAATGAAGTTGTCTTAGAAGACCCTCATACATCTGAATGAACATAATCCAAATATCTTAGTATCATGAATTGTTTTTCTAAATTTCACCCTCGTCTTCTTCCCTTTGATGCATGCTCACAAAGCTAATTTGCAAGCCCACCCCTTCAATAATCCTTGATCTATCAGCAATTTCAAGGATTTTTCACCAACATGCCCCAAGCGCATATGCCATACCTGGTTGCTTCTGATTCCTGTTCTTCAGTAGAAGCCATGTTGTTGTCCCAACAATTACTACCAGAAAATAAACACATTTTTCTTTTCGGATTCCCTTCATTATCACCAGTGAACCAGAGATAATCCTCATAATCTCATCTTTTGCTCTCACTTCTAAACCTTTTGACTCTAAGGTTCCCACAGAGATGAGATTTCTCATTAAATCTGGTACATAATGGACACCTATAAAGGTTCTGATTAATCCATCCTGATTCCTCAAGCGAATTGAACCAATCCCAAGTGTGTCAAGAGGGGAATTATTTATTGTGTAGACAATTTCACCTTTTAGTTCTTTAAAATCAAAGAACCATTCTCTATTGGGAGTCATATGGTGGCTACAAGCTGAATCTAACAGCCATGAACTGGAACAGCTGGTTGATGGCGTAGCAGCGAATGCGAAATCTGAATCTGTATCATCATATACTCGACCACATTGATTCTGAGACGGCCTTTCCCCTTTCAGGTTTACCTTATTCTTTAGCTTGAGACTTCTTTCTTCCAGTGCCCTTTTTCTCGACAAAAGACACATTCATCTTTGTTCAAGCTGGACTTGACTTCGATCTCCCTCTCCTTCCTTATTTTGACTTCGATGGCCTCTAACAACAAGAGCTTCTTCTTCGACACTTGTGTTTCTTGTTTGTCTTTCTTTCTCAATTTATAACTAAACAAGGCAGCAGTTACTTCACTGAGAGACACATCAACCTTCCCATGAAGTAGAGTAGTTTCAAGATACTCAAACTCATCAGGAAGTGATCCCATCAACATCAAAGCCAAATTTTCATCTTCAAAAGTCACGTCCATATTCATCAGATTAGTCACCAGCAGATTAAAGCTAGTAATGTGATCATTCATAGTGGTACCTGGTACATAGTTGAAGCGGAACAATCTCTTTTTCATGTAGAGATTGTTTTGACCGCTTTTCTTCAAAAATTTCTCCTCCAGTGCCTTCCACAATTTACTTGCAGAAGTTCCTTAGAAAATGCATACTTCTGCTCTCTAGAAAGACACGATCGAATAGTACCACATGTCAATCTATTGATCCTCTTCCATTCTTTCTCCTCAACATCATCTGGTTTCTCTCCTTCAATAGCAATGTCTAGACCCTGCAGAAATAGGGCATCTAAAACCTCACTTTGCCACATGCCGAAATAACCGGTGCTATCAAAAATCTCCACTGCAAATCTAACATTTGTCACAACATTTCTTGCGGATGTTTTTGTGTCGTCTGCCATTTTTGCTACAAATTCTATTTAATAGCTGTCAATGCGAAATGTCAATTACCCTGCTACAAATTCTATTTAATAGCTGTCAATGCGGAATGTCAATTACCCTAAGGAAATTTTTTCTGATGTGGAAGATCAGCCTAAGCCGCAACCACAGAGCATACTAAAATAAACCAAGAGTGGTGATACCAATTGTTGTGGAATTCGGGTTAATTTCCACCAATAATAACAAATTCACCTTGAAAACTATTATCTAGGTGACTAGTGTGAAAACGATTGTACTAAAAAACACCCCAAGGTAGAATCCCAGGAAAGAGGAGGGGTCATAATGGTCCCTCTTAAAACCCACTTTCCTTAGACAGAACTACCAAGACAAGTAATTTTAATAGGACAATAATTAACAACAACTATACCCGGACATAGCTATTAAATAGACATAAAGAGAACACCAAAATTTAACGAGGTTAGGCCAAAATTATGCCTACCTCCTCGAACACTACTAAAATAATATTTCACTAATAGAGGAAATATTACAAAGAGAGAAAGAGTACAAATAACCTTTAATATAGAAGAAGGCTTATATTTGTGGGATGCTAAACTAAGGAGGAATATGACTTTATTTATAACAAAAGAATTTCTCCTCCTCCTTATACACAACCAATGTGGAACTTGCCAAAAAACAAACCTACACCATCAATGTGGATGGCTGGAATGGCTTACGGATATGTAAAAGGAATGCTACTGGTCATGGCCGGGGTTTCTGTCGGTGTATCCTTACCTTACTTTGTTGGTTCTGTCTTTCACGCCGAGATTCAAGTTTGTTTTGAAACACTAGCTATCTCTTTTTCGTTTCATGGTTTCAACAACAATAATCAGTAGTATCTAACATTTTTGTTTTGGTTTTGGGTTGGTATAACGTAGCGGTTGTTAGAGAAATATCCAAAGGAAGCTTCAATACTGAGACTGGCAGGAGAAGGGGGCTGGTTTCATCAGTTCCGGACTGTTACGTTGATTAGGATCAGTCCATTGCCCTACATTATGTTTAACTACGCCGCTTGGGCCACCAATGTCCGTTACACTCCTTACTTGTTGGGGACATGGGTGGGGATGTTGCCTGAAGTTTTTATTGCACTCTACAGGTTACCACACATGCCACGTCATTTACTAAACTATAAAACCAGATGGAGTTTTGTGTAAACCAACAACTGATTCATTATTTTTCTCTTTGTTTTGCAGTGGGATTTTGATACGATCATTTGCAGAGGCGACGCAGGACAAAAGGAGTCTTACTACCAAACAGATCATATTCAACGTCGTCGGATTCTGTGCATCGGTGGGGGCTACGATTTTTATCGGCATTCGCACCAAGAAGAGACTCGATCGACTACGCCAGGAAGAGTCGATGCTGTAGTAGGCTGTGATTTAAGCATGAGATGGAGCTTTACCAAGTTCTGAATCATAATTAGGAAGCTAATATAGAAGACATAGTTTCATTGATTTTTTTTTAATTCTTTAGTGAAAGAAATGGAAGAAGCAACGGAAATGCATATATGGGTTTGGAATTGATGATCTGAGGTGCCTCAGTTTGTGATTGCATTGTAAAGGCTTTGGTAAAAGTATAGGTTTTCAGCGGTCTTGACCAGAAAAACCATTTATAGGAGTCTTATACTTGGTCAATTTTTTCTATTCTAGACAATGGACTTGAAAAGTTTTTATTATAGGACTTCGGATCATAGGAATTAATGCAAAAGATTTTAAACATTTGTGCAGAGCATTGAGACGGTTGTGCTGTAATTGATCTGAATCCAACGAATATATTTTGACCTGGCCAGAAGGTGTTGTGTTTTGAACCAAGTATAAGCAATAGCTTTATTGCTCGGTAAAGGGATCAACTCATTAACAGCCTTCATTTGTTATCAGTTGATAGAATTGGCTGCTGAGTGGAACTCTGATTTCTGAGTATTGCTTGAAGGAACTCTCTCAGCAGAAGCATCCTCAAGGAGAAGGAATTATTGTTTCCCATTTTCATTTAGAATATGATGATTATATGTGGTTAGGCAGTACTTAGAAACTAAGTGAGCATTCTGAGGTGTTGTTTACAATATCTTCTTCTATGCTTAATACCGACAAATTCTCATTTAATCGTGTCAAAATTCATTCTATGTTAAGAGTGGTTGATGCAAAAAATGCGGGAGAACGTATTGCCCCTGCCTTTTCATTTAGGTAATGGGTTACATTTTATTTAGTCTTCATGGGAACTGAACTTTTCGGTAGTAATTTAGATCTTTTGACTTGGTCATCTTTAAACTTTCGAATGCATCGTCTCTTTGATTTGTTATCCATCATGTTTACCATCTACTATCTAAATATGCATGTTCAAAGACTAGATACATCTTCATGTATTAGGAATAGAAAAATGTTTTTGTTATTAAGATTTCATGTAGTTTATTTGTTTATACATGTCATGTAAATGTACCAAATATCTATATGCCCACTTTTTCAGCATTTCTACTGCATGGTTACTTACGAAAATTTAGGTATCGTTCAGAGTCTTAAGAAAGGCCATATTACGGTGGATATTGATCTTCGATAGGGTGGGGATCCAAATATAGTTATAGATGTTGATACCCTGTTGTTGCAATACCAATTCAGGTTGGGGCATTAACAACCTTCAAACTTATACACATGATATTCTAGTATCATATATTTTGAACAGTGTTGCATACCATGTTACTTTTTCGATCTTCATAGTTTGAAAATCTTATGAGATGTGATCTTTTTTTGGCTACTATTAGTGTTATGCTCTATGATGCAGTTGAAGGATATCAAATTTTCTCCGTGGTTCGAGTCATTTTCCAACTTACTGAGGAGATGCCTGTATTTCTGAGGTACCATTCAGTAATTTCTAAAGGGCTGCAACCTTACAGGGGTTTGTATAGATGTTTTGGTTGAACAAACTTTCCAGGATGTTCCATAAAAACATTAATTGCGCAATAGACGATACATGCAGCTTGCTTTTGTTGTAAGATTGTCTAGAATCTGGAGCACAATTTCATAAATTTCTGAAAGAGAAGTGGTTATTTATAGCAGTTTTTACTGAAGTATATAGACGATTCTTATACATGCTTTGTGGAAGAATAGAGTATTATTCTTGCCTTGATGTTGTTTAACTGTTCTGATTATCGTATCTGTTTCATACTTTCTGTTTAACATGGAGGAACAAGCGAATGCGGTGGAAGAAGAGAAGAGGATCCTAGAAGCTAGAAAGGAATTGAAAAGCCGGAGTTATCCAAAGCACAACGGCTGCAGTCGATGCAACAGCGGCCGGTAGTGGTGGTGGGATCATGGGGAGTGTTGGCAGTGGGAAGTTCATGGGCAGGACATTAACGGCAATCTAGTAGAAGAGGTGACTAGCATCATCCAAGCATATGGTGGATCAAAGCCCCCCCTCCCCCTTCCCTTTAAATTCCAGTACCAGAAAGAACATGTGTGTACTTAAAGCTGCCCAGGTTCAGTTTACTGCAAGTAAGTAATTCAAATGCTTCTTCATTGTTATTGCTCGTTGTCTGGAATTGGATTGTGCATGTGAAAATCTTGTTTCATTCTCCAACACTGTTTACTTTTTTAAGAAAAAATTATTAATACATTATTTTATTGTATATATCGCATTCTACTCAGTTTTGTTTCCCGAACTTTATTAATAATTTGTTGTTCTGGGTTAGACCAAAAAAAGTATTTAATTAAAAGCAAGCACATTGTTTCATCATCATCGTCACATTCACATTCACTCACGGGGTCAGCAGTGACAACCCCGGCAAGCGTGGGCTGTAAGACTTTGGCTTTAAGAAGCGAACAACAACATGTGTGCATAAAAAAACAGAACAATGGCTATTGGCAAGTGGGACTCACAGACCTCAGTCCATTCCAACCCTTAAAGTATTGTATTTGTAACATACACAACTACAATACCGTAACTGTATATACAACCAACCAAGGTAACCATAATCTAATACTATGGGTCAAACATATATAAGCCATGGGAATCATTCGGATTCGGATAATGATTTAAAAAATACAAGTTAAAATCAGAAGAAAAATAAACAAATACGAGCAAGACAAACAAGGCACAAGACTCCATTCAACTCACGCGACTCGCAAAGCGAGTTTCCCTTTCCTCAGTTCCTTAACCAGCCAGGAGGCGGGCACCAGCAGCCATCAGTGGCTCAGAGAGCAACAGGAGACAAAGAACTAGTTTTATAGTTAATGTAGATCTCGATCTCACGTGAAACCTCAGTCGTCCCATGTTCATCTTCACAAGCGCGTGTTGTTCAAATTCTTCAACTAGAAATAAAATAAAATAAAACCGAACTCAACTGTCACGATTAAGTTCGTGACACTCCAACAACACTAGTTGACACGTCAACATTACCATCTGCATCATAAAAGGACTCTCTCCTCGGTCACGGTTTACGGTCACCCAAAAACTCTTTATCCTTTAAGCGAAAAATTCGAAACTACTATATTATGTGAAAGCAATGAAATTCAAACTTGTGCTTTGATCTCTTTATTCAGAATATGCCGTCACGGTCTTCACCGCCGGAGATTGGGGAGGATACGTCGTTGAAGCACCACCGCCACATAAACTCCTACCACCCCTTCCCCCACTACTTGCAGGAACCATAACTATAACATAATCCTTTTAACCCTATTAACCACTTCATCTACCGGAAGCTCTCTCGCAACCGTACTGCTCCATCGGACTCTCCAAGCCACCGTCAATGCCATCGCTTTTCGTACTCCCTTATCCGCCGCGCCACCTCCTCATTCTCCGCTTCCAACCGCTTAGGACATGGCGGTTTTGGCTGTTTACAAAGGAAGTCTTCCTTCTTTGCCTCAACAACTTGCAATCAAAGTCATGAAGTCAGCGGATTCATTGCACGGAGAGCGTGAGTTCCACAACGAACTCTCTCTATCACGCGCCTTGGTTTCTCCCCACATTGTCCCTCTCCTCGTTTCTCTTCAGATTCGGGAAAGAGGAGGTTCGTTTTGGTTTACGAATTAATGGAAGGCAGCGTCCAAGACGCGCTGTTGGATAAAAAATGTGAAGAATTAATGAGCTGGAGCAGAAGATATCGTGTTTTATGCGATGTAGCTAAAGGGCTTGAATATCTTCACCATTTTTGTAATCCTCCGGTCATTCATGGTGATATTAAGCCAAGCAACATCCTCTTGGATGGAGAATTTAAGGCCAAGATTGGTGATTTCGGGCTTGCTTTGAAAACTGAGGTTCTGATTGAAGGGCTTGAAGAAGATGACATTTTGAAGAAAAAAGATGAAACGGATCGATTTTAGAAGAACAGAGAGCGGTTTGACCGGGTTCGAAGAAGGGGCGAGTTCGACGGTCGCTGATAGATCACCGGAGGCGTCGCCGGGACTGTCACCGGAAAAGGGAGTGTTGTATCTGAAGGGTTGTTTGATAAAAAGGGTGGCTCGAGAAGAGATTGGTGGTGGAACCAAAATCATGGAGGTGGGTCTGAATCCGTGAATTAAAGACTATGTGATGGAATGGGTGGGAAATGAGATTCAAAAGGAAAAGCCCAGAAATCATGGAGGTTGATAATATTAATGATAACAAGGTATCGAGTTCCAGTGTTGGCATCAAGAAGCAGAGGAACAGGAAGCCGAGAGAATGGTGGAAAGAAGAATTTTGTGAAGAACTAACAAAGAAGAAGAAGAAGAAAAGAGGGCCTAGTTCAAGTAACAATGGAGGAGAATCGTGGTGGGAAAGAGATGAAGAAACGGTAGAAAAGAAAAGGAAAAGAAGTAGGAGAGGCAGCATTGATCGGTGGTTAGATGGATTTAGTGGTGAATTCAGAGTACCAAAGAGCGGTGGGATCAGTAATACACCGAGTATGAGAGGAACAGTTTGTTATATCGCGCCGGAATATGGCGGCGGCGGTTTACTTTCGGAAAATGCGATGTATATAGCTTTGGGGTATTGGCTTTGGTTATAATATCCGGGCGGAGACCTCTCCAAGTAACGGGCTCGACGATGTGTGAATTGGAGAGGAGGAATTTGATATCTTGGGCAAGGCAAGTGGGTTGCAGTGGGTGGCTTTTAGAACTTGTTGATCCATGTATTCATTCAGTGGACAAGGATCAAGCATTGCTTTGCATCACCATGGCATTGCTTTGTCTCCAAAGATCACCGAGCAAGCGGCCCACTATGAAGGAGATTGTGGAGATGCTTTCCGGTAAGGCCGAGCCACCGCATTTGCCTTTCGAGTTCTCGCCATCCCCCAGGAGGATCACCGGATGAGTTTCGATTCACTGTGTAGTAGAAATAGTTGCAAACAAAGTTGTTCATTCTTGCCTTTGCCTTTGCCTGTGTCTACAATGAGAATGAGTTGTGGTGCTTTGCCTTTGGGGATATGCGATGGTCTCAGCTTTAACCAACCAAAAGCAGAAAGCTCATT